GGGCGAGCATTTATCCATCCGATAATATTAGATATTAAATGATCTGCGATTACCCACCAACTTGACGCCACTCATTTATCTCCTTTCCTTAGATAGTTTTATATTTCCTGATTGATATATCCTGTAGTTGTTACTATTTGATTTCCTTCTAATAATTTTTTTTTCTTACTTACAATTATTTAATTAATCAATTAATTCAGTAATTAATTCTATTAATATTAACATTTAGAGGATAATCAATTAGTGTTTAATATATTTCATGATATTAATGATAAAATTAATCAACTATTTAAAAAATGTGATAGGTAGTTATTGTAATTTTATAATATTTCAACATTTTATTTTATTTTGTCTTTTTTTTTCTTGATAAGTTTATCAGACATTATCATAAATGCTTCCTTTTTTTTTTACTATTATAATATTACAACATACTGATATATATTAAAATTATTAATTTTTATATATTAAAATTTAGATTCCTTTTTTTTTTTAATCATTGTCATAATATTACATTAACATTGTGATATATCAAAAAAAATTTTTTAATTTCATTTATTAAAATTTGAATAGTTTTTAAATTTTAAAAATTGAAATATTTCAGAAAGTTTTCTTTTTGTTACGATATTAATCAATAACACTTTAAAAATACCTTTTACAAAATTTATCGTTTTATTTCATAAGCTTAAGTTGATATTTAATTTTCTTCCATCTGTTATACTTTTGTTTTATTTTGTTTTTTTTTCCCCTCACTCTATGAAAATTTAAAATTATGTGATTGTAGATTTGTCAAATGAAAATTTTGACAATATCCAATAAATGTTGAAATTCTAGGAAGTATCTAACAAAATATCGAAATATCTGCTAGAATCTTAAAAAGTTTCTGTCAAAATTTTCAATAATATCCATCAGAATCTTAAAATCTTAGGAAGGTATCTATCATTCGATCGTATCTACTAGAATCTTAAAAAGTGGCTGTGAAAATTTTGTCAATAATTCACTGGAATCTTAAAATGTTAGGAAGTATCTAATAAAATCTCCAAGTATCCGTTAGGAACCTAAAAAGTTTCGGCCAAAATTTTGACAATATCCACTAAAATATTAAAATCCTAAAGTGAATCCATTAGAAACAAATTTTAGAATCTTAAAAAAGTTTTATCAAAATTATTGAAATAGACAATAAAATTTTGAGAATAATTAAAAAAGAAGATGAGAAAAAAAAGGCAAAAGAATTATTGGAATTTGAAAAAAAAGTGTATTAATTAAATTTTTATAAAAATGAAATCAAAATTTTAATAATATTTTTTTGAAAAAATTAAAATAAAATTTCAATAGTAAATATTTGATGATATTTAGCACAATTAAATGAGTGAATAAAATAAGTAAGTTAAAATTTGATTATAAAAAAGAAAATTATATGTACAGGAAATTATTTTTTATAAATAAGAGGATATGCGAAAAAACAAAATGTAATCACACATATGATGATGATATTGTTATTGTATCAGTAAAATGTAATCACACATATGGTGATGATATTGTTATTGTATCAGTAAAATGTGTTATGTGTTTAGTTATTGTATCAGTAAAATGTGTTATGTGTTTAGTTGTTAGTTGTTTTTAGAATTGAATGTTAATGGGATAAGAAAGTGGAAAGGAAATGTGAACTAATTAATGGATTTATTTCATTTGGTTTTACACTATTCCTTTTGATATTTATTGTGTTTGGAAAAATTTTTCAAAGTAAATAAATGTAAATTTTAATGATAATGGCTTTGAGAGAAAAAAAAATTAAAAATAGAAAATAAAATTAAATGGAAGTTTTGTTGAAATCATATGGAGAGAGAGAGAGAGGAAGGAAGAGAGAGGATGAGGGATAAAGGAAAAGATGATATGAATATGGTTTTGATTAGTTAATTAATTAAAAAATATTTTAAAAAGATTTCGTTTTATCTATTACTATTTTTATATTAAAAAAAAAAAAAA